CTGAGATTTTCCAGCAATTTCTGTTTTTTTTTCCTTCTGATTTCCAGCATCTGCAATTCTTTGGTTCTTTTTGCTTATTTTCCGATCCTTGCACCATTAACACTTGAGCTGTCCAAAGTTTTCTCATTGGCCCTGTCCTCTTCCTCATCTAAATCAGCCTTTATATGTTCCATTGACACCAGGATCTACTTCTCAACCACCTTTCGACTCAATGTATTGCCAAAAAGCTTGTCCAACTCTTGAAGCTATGTGCTCTTTCACTCAGCCTATCACTTTAAGTGGGGGAAGTCTGTACTATACATGACATAGGTGACTGTTATTTCATCACAGAGAATAGGGATTTCTACCCTCATGTGCTCCAAGACTTATTAGCATTCAGTCTTTAAAATATTTCTGGAGTATCTGAACAAACGAACAATATTAGCATACAAGGAGACACATCCTTTTGTCTTCAGAAATTCTCCAGAGTCAAAAGCAACTCCCAAGACTGCAACAGACTCGCAAACAGACCCAAGTCACATTTAGTGAGGCTATCTCATTGATTTCAATATTTAATACTTTGCTATGCTTAATAAAATGGTTCCTGTAGTCTAATTGGTGAAAATTTCTGCTTATGAAGTGGGAGATATCAGTCAACCATAAGCTTCCCCAGTGGGGCATGTTTTGGGTCCTACAGCACAGGAGCAAAGAGGGGTATTGTTTATGTGAGACAACAAGGTGCAGGGCTGGATGAACACAGCAGGCCAAGCAGCATCCTAGGAGCAGAGAGGCTGACATTTCGGGCCTAGACCCTTCATCAGAAAACGGGGAGGGGAAGGGGGTTTTGAAATAAATAGGGAGAGAGTGGGAGGCGGATAGAAGAGGGACAGAGGAGAGGATAGGTGGAGAGGAAACAAACAGGTCGAAGAGGCGGGGATGGAGCCAGTAAAGGTGAGTGTAGGTAGGGAGTTAGGAAGGGGATAGGTCAGTCCAGGGAGGACGGACAGGTCAAGGGGGCGGGATGAGGTTGGTCGGTAGGAGATGGAGGTGCGGCTTGAGGTGGGAGGAGGGGATAGGTGGGAGGAAGAACAGGTTAGGGAGGCAGGGACGAGCTGGACTGGTTTTGGGATGCAGTAGGGGGAGGGGAGATTTTGAAACTTGTGAAATCCACATTGATACCATT